ATTCAGATTTTCCCTGATGTGACAAAATTAAAGAAGAAAACATTTTAAGTGAGGAGGGCTTTCAGCTTCTGCTTTCAGAAGTTTCAGACTACAGTCATTTAGCTATGAGGCTTCTGGTCCCATTCATGGTGGGGCCAAGCATTCTGACAAGAAATGGTATGAGGCTTCTGGGCAGGCCAACACATCTTCATTGGAGAAAGTGATGGAGGAAAGGTTCTCATCTCAAGGCATCTGGAAGAAGAGAATCATAGTTGAAGATCTAGCGATAAACTGCAGGATACTTGGCTGATGTCTGACATTTTCACGGAGTGTGGATACACCCATCTTCTGTTTTAATTGTTGTGTTCTATATTAAGTGTGTATGAAATAGAACAGAGATAACACATTTATTTTAATAAATACTTCTATACATACCTAAACATGCATATAGATATCCCTTTACACATAGAAATCCATATATATGTATATATATATATATATATATATATATATGGATATGAAGCTGTAACTGTGACATTATTTTGACATCACAATGAATCCAGATTGCTGACAGAAGTTATATCACAGTGGAAAAATAAAATTAGAGAAATGGAGGTCATTACTTCTTGATAAACACATTTCTTTTCAGTTTGCATCTTTCACAAGCATTCACTTGTGAGGTGTTTTTAAAAACCGACATTGAAAATAGCCTAGGACAAAAAGCCACACTATGAAATAAAGAAAAAATGAAAACAGGTTCTTTCTTGATTATCTCCTTCATAGCAACTAATCCTTCTTAGGGATGTGCCTCTAAAATGTGTACCCCCAAACTAGGACATGCTGCCTCTAAAATATGAATGCATATTGCTGTTTATACATAATTATGGTAGGAAAACTAGTCATAAATGTTCACTTGTATTACAGCCTGCTATATTCTTGTAATCACTGGATGTTTGATGGGACATGAACAGAAGCCACAGCATTATGAAGCACTCATGAGGATGTTATAAAACCTGGGTATCAAGACTGGAATGTTCTATAGTAGCTCTCAGAAAATCTCTCTGGAGTGTCTTTCATGCTGCTTAATATTTTACCCTCTGATTGACCTCAATTACCAGACATAGGCACGCTGCCACTTTGTGAGTTGGATGTCATTGCTAGGCCTTAGCAGTTTCACTGGACAAACAGAACAAAATGTCTACAACTCTTAAAGAAAACAGCATGCACTGGGAGTTTTGATGAGATGTAATTAAGCCTAGAAATATATTTTAGGAAAAATATATTTAATATATGGTTAGATATTAGCAGCAATAAAATATGCTCATTATATTGAGATCTGAACTGTACAGAGGAAGCACTAAATCATCATAAGCATAACAGAAAAGTCAGACCAAATCTTAAGAAAATAATGAAGACATGTGTGAGTACTAACCAGTTCCCCATCCACAGGGTATCATCTGTAAGGACAGATAAGACTTTTCAATGACTATAATTAAATTATTATTTTTTTTAAAACTGGGGATATGAGCTGGTTGCCATTAAGAGCCAGAAGGAGGTCTTGTGCTTTCAGCTCTGTAGTCAGTGCCACTGTGTGCCTAGTCATCAGGCCTTATACCCATGATGGAAGGACTAAATTCAGGGAGTTAAGATAATCTCATAGTGTGGGAGTCAAATACAGATAATCTGATTACTATGGAGGGTTTATAGCAAGACTAACTGGAAAGCAGAGCACCAAACATCTTTTATTATTACCAAGTGTGCACAGCAGCTGTTCATCCTCTCCAATCACAACAGGAAAGGGGAAAATATTGTGGATGAGCCTAATTCTGAATCTTGGCATCTAACTGAATTTAGCACAGAGCATCAGCATGAATTCAAACATGTGTGAATCACAGTAATCACTCGAAGTGCTAAATCACACATTTCGTAGTTTATCCAATCTACCAAAATGTTGTGGTCACTGTGGTGCATGTTCTGCAGGGCTTTTCAGGGTCAGACGTCTAATGACTCAATTTTAACACACACACAGAGTGTAAAAGCTAAGGTGGCATGCTCTGTGTGACTTTATATCTGAATTGTCTCTGTTGTAGGGATGTACACAACTTTATCAATGTGAATACTATATTATTTTCTAATAAGATAAAAACAATCTCAAAATTCAACAAGTTGTATTTTATCCAATTAAACAGCTTTTGTACAGCAAAGGGAATAATCACCAGAGTCAAGTCAGCCCTAAAATGGAGAAAAGGGATTGGTCAACTGAACATCAAACAGAAGGCTGATATTTAGACTATAAAAAGAAATGAAAAATTAAATGCTCAAGCCAAATTATCCAAACAATAAATTCTCTATTGAAGATAATGAGGTTCTCAGAGAAGATATAATTGGCTCACAAATTTGGGGAAAAGCTTTCAAAATCATTAGTAATTATAGAAATGTAAATTAAAACCGCATTCACTGGGGTCCATGAGCTCCCCCTTGTTCAGGTCAGCTGTTTCTGTGGGTTTCTCCAGCCTTGTCTTGACACCTTTGCTCATCACTCCTCCCTGTCTGCAAAATGGATTCCAGAGTTCAGCTCAGTGTTTAGCTGTGAGTGTCTGCTTCTGCTTCAATCAGCTAATTGATGAAGGCTTTAGTATTTCATATAAAGTAGTCACCAAGCTCATTATCATGGAAAAGCATTTAAGGTAGCCTCTCTACTCTTGCTTAGATTCTCAATTGTGGTCATCTTTGTAGATATCTGGACATTTCCATAGTGGGAGATTTCTCTGTACAGTGTATTCAGATTACTGTTTCCCCATATCTAGTTCTTACAAGATGCTTTCCACCTCTCCTTCTATCCAAATCCACACTCTTTCTTTACATCAGAAAACAATGAGGCATCTAGAAACATAATAAGATAAAATAAAATATGACACAGCAAGAATAAGCACATGACCTTTTGAGTTACAAAAATGTAGGTGAAATTAAAGACAGAGCTACTATCACAAATAAAGAAATAGACTAATATTGTTCTGTTTATAGACAATGACTACTGTGGTATTTATGACCAGAATAGCTTCATAGCCATAGATATTCATTATATATGGACAGTATGGTAAATAATGTAATCCATTTGATCTCTAGAGTACTTTCAGATATTTAGGAAACAATTGTTCCTAGTTATTGGCATAGGCTTTTTCTTAAGTGTTTTATTGCAGTATTCACTCTTTAAATAAATTAGCTTGCAGGTGTCTCTCTTCTTTTTCCCCTCTGTCTTCTAAAGAGAATCTTAAAGACCTCTTCTGTTGGACATATGGAGTGGCAGCAAGGTAACCAGGAAAAAATGAAATAACTGTTCCAACTATTTCTGTTTATAGAGTCAAGTCATGACAAGATCTCTAACAATAAGAAGGTAATGTTATACTTTTTTGATTCACGTGAGGAGAGTGAACGCTGTATTTTCGGAACAAATGTTAAAATAATACATCCTTACTGAAAATCAAAAGTGTAATATTCACCTAAACAGCATAAGCTGTGACCCTCAACGATTTACAATGTCTTTGAAGCTGCCAAGAGGTGGCAAAAACACTAATTTTAACAAGATAACAAACTGTATGTCTTTCATGATATTCCTGCCGTGGTGAAAATGGAAATTATTGATGCTGGGAACAGTGCCCATAGTGCTGTTAATCACTGCATTGCTATTAATTGATTTCCTTAGGCATGAGCCAAGGCATGCTAGGATACCACTTATTAGACCCCTCTACCACTCCACCAAAGCTGTTTGATACCTCTTAGAAAGTAGAGGTTTTTAGATGCATTTTGGTTCTAATACCAGTGATACCTGTTTTGGCACAAGAGCTAGTCAGTTTAACTCTTGGAATCTTAGACAACTGCATTGTCCTTTCCTCTGTATTACCATAAAATAATTTGAAATTATGCATTGAAATATCTACTACAGTCATCTCTCATGCATATTCAGAATCTCTGAGAATTTCATTATCTTCAAATATCAACTACAAATGTTCTTTGTTCAATATAACTAGAGAAAGCATTCTATTTTGTAAAAGAACTAAACAAAGAAAAACAGTAAATAGACTGAATATCTAAACACTAGCAGCTGAACCCCAAATTAAATATTTTTTTCTTCCTTCTTTCTGTCCTTTACTCTCTTTAGAAGATCTAGTTGGTAATAAGAACATGTATTAAATAAAAGTGTAATTACAAAAAATAGAAAATATATTCATAATAATGACTACTTATGTTGACATGAATATATTTTTGAATGCTTTTACATTGCGATCTCATGCCTCCTTTAAACAAAATTGGGGTGTGACTATCCATTGTTAGAAAGTTTGAGTAGATTATAATTTTCTCTTTAGTCTTAGTTGTCTAGTACAGCTACAGATAACAAAAGAAAACAAGAGCTCTGTCAGTTAATGTCAATCATATAGAAAAGGTCAAAATGGAGTTGCTCATGACTACTGTCAGAAGCAGGCAAATCATTAACATTTCTGTATCACGTTCTCATTAGAGAAATTATGATAATATAAAAGACATAATTTCCATGTATTGCCAAGATAAAAAACAGCTATTGATGGGAACCAGAACAGCTAATCAAAGAGCTGACTAAAATAAAATACGCTCAAATTAACATATGTGCTTGTAACTCATAATATACCATTGTCAGAAACAGACCATAATATAAGTGGTAATTAAATCATAACATAGATACTAAATACAGACAAATAAAAATTATAATAATAATAATAAAGTGTGACTACTAAGAATTACAATTTATATTTTTTTGAGACTGAATAACAAACTGTAAGAAAAACTACATGAGTATAAAATTTCTATGGTTATTTTTACTTTTAATACTTTGGTATTTCAATTTATTCAAAAAACACTTTAAATGTCTTATTTGTGTAAAGCTTATTTACATATGTTTGCATGAGAACTCAGCTGAACTGCATTAATTATTGCAACGTAGGCAGGACAAACTGACTATTCAACAGAACATTTAAAAAAGAAATATGATATGGATATTGACCCTATTCTGATTCTGTGGTAATCAGGACCAGCTAAACACACTCTACAGTTAAGTCTGTGTACATGTTCCCAGACTTAGCTCTATCCCTAGGCCTGGTTTTGTAAAAGTTGGTGAAAAGCAGCTCTGATTTGATTGTTATGTATAATCATGTGATGGCTAAGATTCCAGGGTTCTTTTAATTGACCTTAAGATAAGTGACATTGTAGTTGCTGTAATAATCATTACATAATCAATTTTAATATGATTTCTGGTCTTAAGAATATTTGGCTATTATAAGGAAATTCTGTGATTATCAGTTGCCATTAAGGGAAATGTAAAACTACTGTCATTATTTGCTAGGGGGGGGGAAAATAAGCATGAATTCTGTGTAACCCTGGCTGGTCTTGAACTCATGACATGGACCACACTGGCTTTGCACTCATAGAAATCTGCCTTGAGTACACGATTGAAGGGTGTGCACCACCAGAACAGCATTAATAAATATGAATTCTTGGAAGCTTTGAATATTTGAGTCCCTTGTCAGGAATGAAGACAACTTTTGCTTAATGTTATACCTTGGCATTATAACTTAAGTTGAATTCATGTGTTAAATCTCTTCAAATGTTTGTACCTCTGAGCAAACTCTGTGATGATATTTGCACTGGAGGTTTCATTGTTATTCAAAATAACTTACTTCAGGGAAAGATAGAACTTCAGAAATTCAATCCTGTATAATTGCAGAAAACAGAATATTTATGAGATTGAAAGCTTGTAGCTAACTTTTTTTATGAGAGAAATAAAGATTATATATTAGGACTGATACTTAATTTAAATGTAAATCAATAATCTGTTGAATACCCATTAACAATATAGCACAGCATGAAATAAATGGATAATAAAGAATGGAGAAGAGCTTGGAGAGTCAATATAGGTATATACAAAGTTGAACTCCATATGTATTAAAATCTATAAAGCAATAGTAGGGAAGGTTAGAAGAAAAAAAAAAAGATGACATTGGTAGAAATGTTGCAAAAACATTAAGAAAATGCTTAAACTTAGCAGGAATATCAATTGAAACAATTAAGGGAGCTATTTCACCTGAAAGAGAGAGAGAGAGAGAAAGAGAGAGAGAGAGAGAGAGAGAGAGAGAGGCATAGTGCTTGTGGAAGAGTAAACCATCCAGGTTTATTATAAAATAGTTTGAATATTTAGTGAGGCACATGCTTGCTTGGAGGCTGAAAGTGATAGTAACATTCAAATAGCCAGAGAAGTTAGCTGAAATGTCTGGGATACATGACATGCCTCTTGCTAAGAATGAGAAGCTCTAATGCTCTTTGATAACACAGTGGGCTCAGGTATGTCCACTGGTCATGATTCTCCTTCTAACAAGGCCACAGAAAATGTCTAGATGGAAATTCAACTGTCAATACATAGGACATAGACAAATAATCCTGGCCACGTTAGGATAACAATGAAAGAAATAAAATTAGATCAAGTTTGCTACTTTGGGAAGGATTCACTGAAAGGGAAAATAATTACTCACCCCTATGAAAACAGTAATGTATGAAACACTGGCTCTGAAAATCCCAACACAATGTGAGACAGTGACTTTGAGATGTGGGTAATAAATACGTCCAAGACTTCCAAGAAATAACCCAAAAGTCATTTACAGTGCAAACCTCAGGCCGAAGACAGGAAAAGTTGTGTTCTATGTGGGTGGTAATGCAGCTGGGATTCTAGGGTTAGAAACATGGATACTGAAGTTCAAGGAGCAAACTACTAAAGGATGAAGGTTGACATCATTCAAGCATAGAGAACTGAAGGAAGTCAGAAAGTGACCAACTCTGAGAATGAAATAATGACACAGGCTAATGGAAGATGCCATTCTGAATATATGTTTCTCTTATTGGTTAATGAATAAAGCCAATAGGAAAGCAAGATATGTAGGACTAGAAGACGAGGAGAATTCTGGGAGATGTAGTAGAGAGGAGTCAAAATGTAGGCCATGGGAGAAGTAAGATATCTGGACTCTCTCTTTCTCTCTCTGGTAAGACCACACAGAAACACATTGATAAAAATGAGTTAATAGCTAAGACAGAAGCTCTAGCCATTGGCCAACAACATTATAACTAATAGAGTCTCTGTGTTATTTTGTAGGTGATGCCGATCAGAGACCAGGCTGGCAGAAAACTGCTCATAACAATAGGCCAAGAAAGACTCAAAAGTATCAGAAAAAAAATGAACCCTAGAAACCACACTGGGGAAGGGAAACTCCTTATTTCTGCTAAATACAGTGGACTTACTACAGGTTAAAGTTTAAGTTTTCTTAAATCCATAAACTGATAAATTGATTGATATTCTCTCACCAGGAAACACAGTTTTAATCTATACCACTCCAACTTGTGGGTTTTGCTTAGTAACTTACTTCTGGAAAATAAGACATAGAAACAGAGATTTAAAGCTGTTTAGTCCACAATCCATGTATGTGAGCGAGTTGAACATCACTAGTTGAAGACTTGCTCCTTTGGAAAGGATGAGAAAGGTTCTTCTCATCTCTGTAGTATTCTTCCTTCATGATATGCTTGGATTAAAAAGAAAAGAACTTTTATGTGTATTCCATTTGTATGGAAATCAACAGAAGTGAAGATAACATGAAACAATGAAAAACTTACAGGGCAAGTGAGGACATGGCAAATTCTGTCTTTCTTTAGTACTGGAACAGCACTAAATGGATAATACTAGTAACATAAGGTCTAGAAAGATTATAGTTTGATTAAGATAAAAGTAAAGGAGGAAATAGTTAACCAGAAAATTCTAGTTCCCAAAAGATTTCTAGAAAACATTTAAAAGAAATGTTTTCTCCTGCAATCCATTCTAGAAAACTAAATTCTCAAGTAACTCTAAAGAGTAAGCAAAGTCCTGTGATACTAAAATCAGAACAAGAACCAACTAGTGAAAAGATGGGTATGTTTTCTCATGCACAGATAATTTTGTTGGGATTGGAGACAGGTGAATCTTTTGTGATTTTCTGGCTATCATTGTAGTTGAAAAACCTGTGCTCCAGGTTCAAGGAGAGACTCTGCCTTAATGGAATAAGGTGAAGAATAATGTTTGCAATTGATAATCTTATCTGAAGTCTACACAAGTGTATAACACACACACATATGAAAGAGAGAGAGAGAGAGAGAGAGATTTTAGCAAACCTAACCCAACATTTTCTGAATCAATGAGTATATATATATATATATATATATATATATATATATATATGATTTATTCAAACATTTTTTAAATATCAGTCAATTAGTTCCTGTTAATAACAGAATCACTAAATAAACTAAACAGAATAAAACCTTAAATAATCCCCAGAGTCATAAAATTGGCAATAGCTAATATATGTTCTATTATAAAAAAACTATTGGCAAAGAAATATAATTTTTTAGTTCTGTAAAATGACCTGTGATTTCCCAACAAGAAGCACCACACTTCCTAAAGAAGCTTTGTTGCTTATAGATGTTACCATCTACCTGCATCTGTAGTATGTTTACTACCTCTTGTAGCTCCGGGGACCTGTACTCAGGAATCAGTTTGGATCGTGGCTTTGATTTCAAGCTATTTCCTAACATTTTCAGTCAAGCTCACCACCTACCTGCACTCTCTTCAGAACAATGTGGCACACATGATTTCATATCAAAGCTTACTGGGTTAGGGTAAGTCAGGTTTTCTCAGTTTGAACTTCTGTATTGTGCTTTTCGCGGGGCAGGCAAGGAGACTTTTTTTATTAATTTATTTTATTTTATATAACAAAGTCCAATTAAATAAAAACAAACATTTATACACAATATTTGGGAATTTGGGCGTTGTTCGTTCCAAACTACTTCCTGCTGGTAAGGGGCACTGTCATGGGGGATTCGAAGAAGATTCAGAAATCCTGGCTGTAGTCTGTAAGGCTGCTTTGTCCAGCCGTTTTGAATGTAGGATCACCTGGTACTCTGTTTCAGGCGGTCTGGCTTGATCAAACCACATTAGTCTGGAAGGAATCCACAGCTTTTCATTTTCTGTGAAAACAAAAATAGAAATCCTTTTCCCCAGTAACTTGTCCTTCAACTTAAATTTTGGAGTCAAAGAACTTTTTTTAAATTTAATTTATTATTTTACATGTTGATCCCAGTTCCCTCTCTCTCCCTCCCTCCCTCCCTCCATCCCTCCCTCCTTCCCTCCCTTTTACCCTCTCTGCCCTCTCACATGCACTCTAAACACCCACCCCTCCCATCCCCCCACCCCAATTCCATATGTAGGGGAATGCCATCCAATTGGGGTCATGTAGATCTGACAGGTCCTGTGAAGTAGGGACTAGGGCTTCTCTCCTGTCTCTAGATTAAGGCAGTTATCCCTCCATGGGGGATATGTTCGCAAAGTCCTTTTGTGCACCATGGATATATCCTGGCTCCACTGTCTGAGGTCTCTTAGACTGCTCAGTCCTTCTGCCTGAGACCCATATTCAAGGGGGCCTGAGTCAGTCCCATGCTGGCTTCCCAGCTATCAGTCTAGTGGCCCTTAGCTCCTCCTTGTTCAGGTAAGCTGTCTCTATGTGTTTCTGCCACATGGTCTTGTCCTCTCCATCTGCATCTGGGTTCTAGTTGGACTCAGTGTTTATGTATGGGTGTTTGATCCTGTTTCCAACAGACATTATTTGCGGGCTCCAAGGATAAGTTAGTTATTGATCTCACTCTCCAGGAAGGGCATTTATGATAGCCTTTCCACGGAAGCTGAGATTATTAGTTGGGAGCAGTCTTGTAGTTCTCTAGACCTTTCTTTGTGTTCAATTTTATCTTCAAACCAATATTGGCTCCCTCATTTATGTTCTCTCTGTCTATGTCTCTCTCTCTCTCTCTTTCCTATCTTCTAATCCTAACCAGGCTCAATCTTCCTGGTCGCACATGTTTTCCTTTCCTCCCCCTCATTTTCTCCTACTTCTCTCTTCTTTCGCTGTCCTCCCCCACTTCACCTGAACTCTGGGGGACTTGTCCCTTCCCAGTTCTGTGAGGGACTTTATATGAATCTCTTAGAATACACCTTGTATCCTAGTTCGTCTGGTGATGTGAATTATAGGCTGGTGATCATTTGATCTAGGTCTAAA